CGTCTGAAAGAAACCCCCCTTCCTCCAGCTTTGTCTAGAATGGGCAGCCCGGCGGCCCATTGACTAGCACTGTTGCCTCACAGCAAGAATACCACTGGCTCAGGATCCTCGCTGGGCCATCTGGTATTTCTGCGCGGAGTTTGCATGTTCTCCCCGTCTCCGCATGGGTTTCTCCAACATTCAAATATGCTCTATATTATGGACAAGATTAGCCTAAGTCCCTAAATGTCTTTTTCTCAGGAAGTTCACCTTAGCCTCAGCTGTGGGGGAGTTTTGAGATCAACCTGAGCTCAATCTCCTCTCGCCCTGCGAAAGGGAGGGAGCCCTATGTCAGAGGATCCCTTGAGCTCAGGGTTCTCTCCTGGGACAGCACGCCATCATTTATGAATCATGAGTTAAGCATGAATTCTTGAAGCAAAAAACAAAAGAAACACTGCATTTATGAAGTGTGCCTCACACAGATGAGTGGGCTTGACAAACCACCTGTAGAAAACTTACTCCTACATCTCTCTCAGTTTTGCACATTTGCACCAGGCACGTTCTTATCATTACTCCATATCTTTAAGTGAAGCTTAATATTAAACTAATTTTGAGAGTAGCACGTGCTCATGATTGACCCAGCTGGCCTACATTAGCTAATCATGATCCTACAATCAAAGGATCCCAAGTCACGTCTTTTCATCTTCGTCTGAAAGAAACCCCCCTTCCTCATGCTTTATCCAGAATGAGTTTGCATGTTCTCCCTGTGTCCGCGTAGGTTTCCCCCGGGTTCTCAGCTGAGCAGGAGTTTTGAGATCGACCTGAGCTCAATCTCCCCTTGCTTTGCGAAAAGGAGAGAGCCCTGGGTCCAAGGATCCCTTGAGCTCAGGGTTCTCTGCCGGGAGAGAACGCCAAAATGTATAAATCGTGAGCTAAGCGTGAATTCTTGAAACAAAAAAACAGAAACACTCCATTTATGAAGTGTGCCTCACATTGACGGGTGGTCTCTCTCAGTCTTGCACATTTGCACCAGGCATGTTCTTATAAAATCGCTCCACATCTTAAAACAAAAGAAACATTGCGCTTATGAGGTGTGCCTCATGCAGGTGAGTGGGTTTGACAAACCACCTGTAGTACCACTTTACTCTAGCGCTTACTTTTTTGAGTGTGAACAGTTCCTATGTATAGTTAGCACTTGTGTGTATTGCTTCCGCTAGTTGAATCACTGAATGCCTCCTTAATTGTAAGTCGCTTTGGACAAAAACGTTTGCTAAATGACTAAATGTAAATAAGTAATGTGTTCACCCCAAAAAATAACATTAACTCACTGATTATTCACTCTCAAGTGGATCCAAAATCTCCAAACACAAAGATATTAATAAATGTAAATAAGGGAAAAATAAATATTATGAAAATCAATGGCTACCAGTCTCCAACATTCTTTAAAATATGTCCAACAGAAAAAAAATAAATAAATAAAATCTCAAACAAGTGAAGGAATTTCCATTTTTTATTTACTATTCCATTAATAATAATATATATTTAAATATAATTCATTTATTTGAATCAAAGCTATATTTTCAACATCATCCATTCTTAATTGATTCTTGATTGCTCAGGAATGATTTATGATTATTAACATAATGTCGCTTCTGTGTAAGATAATGCAGCTTATGTCTGTGATCGGCGACTCATCTGCGATTCTCTCAGATCGCGTCTTTGATAGTTCACACTGTGTTACTCACGTGAACGAGCACCTATTTGCCTGTTGTGCCTGATTTACCAATTTCAGGCATTTATCAGAGATTTCTCAAAACCTGTCGGGGAGTCAAAATCAGGACTAAAATCATGCAGTCCAAACTCGGCATTATTTGTGTAAGCAAATGCACATTGTTTAGCATGTGTCACTTTAAATGCAACCGAGTTGCTTCTCCCCGCCCTTTTTTCCAAAAGAAGGTGGAGCTTTAACAGCTTGCGCCTCAGTCACTCAACAATATAATCTGCATTTGTTTAAAGTTTAAGCTTCTAATATATCATTTTCTAAGCACACAGAGACACAAAGCATCACACCTGACTGTCAGACTTTGCACACAGTGTAAGTTTTATACTAAGTACAGTTTTATTTCAGCTGTCAAAAACACACATGGAAGCCATTTAAAGAGATACTGTGACATGCACGTTCCTGGAAGAAAACTCAGGACTTTAACGGTTCGCTCAAAGAACTGTGCTTACAGAAGGAGTGTTTACTTGCTTTGAAAAGACTTTGTGTTCTGTAGAAATGCAGATCTTTTTCAACAGTAGGCACCAAAGACAGCAGGAAGTGTAAAAAGCACAACAGGAGCATTTTAAACAGCTTTGTTTGCACAGAAGAGACAACTTTACAAAGTTCAAGGCTAGAACACGATACAAGAAGTTCACACAGTACTATGACGTTCACGGTTCAGTGCATCCCCTTAAATACATCTCATTAAATTCACACGGATATCTCTCGCTTGCTTTGTTTTTGATCCAGTCAGAACCTCAATTTAACGTCTCATCCGAAAGATGGCGCCCATTGTAGTGTCCCTTTTACTTTACTGGGGCATCAGGACTCATGCAGATCACAGGTTGAGCGCCCCCTGCTGGCCTCACTAACACCACTTTCAACAGCAACATAGTTTTCCCAAGTGGTCTCCCATCCAGGTACTGACCAGGCTCAGCCCTGCTTAGCTTAAGTAAGTAACCGGTCTTGGGCTGCAGGGTGATTTGGGCGTGGATTTATGTAGATTAAAAACATAAAATGCATTTTGTAGGATCTCTGTTTTTTTGTTGAAATTATGCTCATTTTAACAAATTCTGCAAGTGCTATGTCTACATACATATTTTTATCACTATAGAAATAAAAATAAAAATATAGGGCTCCATTTTAACTAAACGCAAAGTATAAAGAGCATGCCGCAACAGCATTAAAGGCCAAATCCACTTTCGCTGTTTTAACAATAAAAAAAAATATGGTTTGCGCTGCAGCGCGTGGTCTAACAGGGTTGTTCTTATTCTTTTAATGAGTTCTGGGTGTGTTTTGAGCATAACGTGCAATAAACCAATCAGAGTCTCATTTCACATTCTCTTTCAGAATCAGTTGCGTCATGTCAAATTGCATTTGCTATTTACTTTGTAAGAGGAAAAACTAAACGTTTCACTAGTGAGAAAACAGTTAAACAGAGCATCTGCAAAGTGAGGATAAAAAATGAGCCACCTCCATTCGGCCTCTTTACTTTCTCTTTACTTTTACTCTTTCCTTTACTCTTTACTTTACTCTTTACTTTACTCTTTACTTTACTCTTTACTTTACTCTTTACTTTACTCTTCACTTTACTCTTTACTTTTGTGGATGAGGAAACAGTGTTGTACGCACTCCACTGAAGACACTCATTAGCCTACATATTTAATTTTGTTTGTTAAGCACAAAAATTTGTTTCAAAACTATTTCTAAATTCAGTTCTAATTTCCAGCAAACAAACAAATGAACAATAATAACAAATTGTGATAAAAGCGTGAAGTTATATCCTAACACCTCTTTTTCGTATGCTCCATATGGTGATGAATACTCTCCAAAGCCTGCCTGACTTGTTTTTAATAAACTAAATGTATATATGCATACAATAAATAATGCTGCTAATAATAATAACATTACAAACCCAAATAGTCATAAATAAACTGAAAAAAAAAACCTGTGAGATGAAGGCGGCATGGAGGTTTTTCTTTATATTTTTATAGAAAATAATAATTTTTGTAAGATTTTAATCCTTTATTAATTTTTTTCATATTTATAGATATTTGTGTATTGCTTTACATTTTGTGTGTATTAAGCAATGTGTAAGTGTTTTTACCTGCATAGGCACATAACTAACACGCTCTGTGCTGGACTTCAGACCAGCTTTCAGTTGGTCAACAGTGCGGTCTATTTCAGTTCCTCAAAATAGCAACACGCCAACAATGCGCCTTAACACACCTCCTTTATAGACCAGCACGCCCATGAGTCCACAAATAGCGCAAATGGATTCGGTAAGTAACCTAAGAACATTAACAACATTTACCCAACCTAACAACGAGCCGCAAAACTTGAAAATGATAGTTGCGCTGGTCTGAAAACACCAACAAATTGCACCATACACATCTTGTGCCTTAATGCACCGGGTGTATGAAAGGGCCCATATAGTGATATTCAAATTTGCAATAGTTTGATGCCAATATATTGTGTAGCCCCAGCTGAAACTGCATAGGATCAATTGAATGTGCATATCACAATTTATCTTTATTAGAGTATATACAGGATTTAGACCTTTTTTAAGAAACTTTCCATACATTTTAAGACCTTATAATCACCTTTTACAGGAAACACTAACAAGATTTTAACTTAAAGCATATTTATTAAATATTAATGTAAGAAACTAATCCAAAACTAAAACATTATTCATATACTGAATGAAAATATATTAAATCTAGCTAACTCAGCCCGTTTTCGACTATGGAACTGCAGAAATAATGGTGTTGCCTTGTTTACTGCAGTTAAAAAAAGCAGCATGATGTGAAATCTAGTAGGACTTCATTGATTTCATAAACTACACAGCATCCTGATGTTCACAGATTTAATTCTGGCAAATTTTAGCAAACAACCATACATTGCATAATCAAAAATTATATGAAAATTTATACCTTGCAAAGACTTTTTTAATACTTTAAGGCCCTAAATTTTTTTACATGATTTATCAACTTTTAATACTTTTAAAGAGCCCGCGGACACACTGTTTATCTTTACAAGTATAGAAATGAACAAAGATATATAGCCATATGCACTTATAAATATTTCCATAACTGCGACACATTGCGCAGCCCTAACAGAAACTGTGCGTCAATTGAACAGAATGTCCATACCACAATAAATCTTTATCACTGTAAAACTAAAGATAAAGATATATCGCCATATGCACAATATTTTGTTATTAATATTATTAATATTGAAATAAATGAATGCTACTCACAGGGCGCAGGGTGGCACTGAGTCTCCCTCCGGCTCGCAGGCTTCGCTCTCCTCCAGCTGTGGGCACTCTAACCCTCCTCCGCTGGGCAGGCGGGTCAGCTGGCGGCTGCGGGACCGAGAGCCCTGCGGGACCTTGGGGTCTGAGCAGGCCTTCGAGCAGGAGCTCCACTCGCTCCACTCACTCAGCACACAGTCTCTGGGCATCAGGCAGGACTGGTAGAGCTCCGGCAGACTCCAGTGAGGACACTGACTGAGACACACACAGCAGAAGAAGAAGACAAATGGTGTTCAGTTACATTTAGTCATTTAGCAGACGATTTATCCAAAAAGACATACAAACGTGGATAATGGACCCCTTTCACATTTCAGGTTATCTTAGTAGCGGAGGTCATCATAATTGGATGAACTTGAGAGCACAGTGAATGGTAGAATACCACATTTCTACAATTCTATTTGCTGAAATAATAAAACATGTTCAGTAATGTTTAGTAAGTAATCCAAGTTTAGTTTAGTTAGTAATCTAGTTAGTAATGTTTTTCAAATGGTTAGTAACAGGCAGTGGTGGAAAGAGTACTCAAGTAAAAGTACCATTACTTGCTAAAATATGTAGTGCAAGTAGAGTAAACGTATCTGTTGAAAATATGACTTAAAGTATGAGTAAAAAGTAGCCCTTTCTAAAGTACTCAAGAGTAGTGAGTAGTGAGTATTTAACACAATCTCACGGCAATTCGTAACTTTTTCATTTAGTGGCTAATTCGTATGAATTCGTACAATCTAATTCGTACAATTTAGTACGATTTGCTCATTCCCCAATGACGGTTGGGGTTAGGGGTGGGGTTAGGTGCCACACCTCCTTTTTAAAATCGTACCATTTCGTACGACTGAACTCGTACACTGTAATTCGTAATTCGTACGAATTAGCCACTAAACTGGCCAAACGTAAAATACTTACGTTTTCTTGTGAGATCAGGCTGGAGTATTATACTGTAAAAAGCTGATCACCAATAACAAATCAAATGACAATGATATTTGGTTGATTTAAGGTTGTGTTGGAAAGTGGCCAAAATCCAACATCGATCCAACATCTTTAACCAACGTCAATCCAATAAATTACTAATATTTTTTAAAGAAAAACCTCTCCTGACCTTTTTTATTGACTGTGAATGGAATTGATTAGATATTCCTACAGTAAGTGACTCAGAAGTCATCATGGTTGCATAAACTTAGAGCACAGTGAATGGTGGAAAACCACATTTCTACAATTCTATTTGCTGAAATAATAAAACACGTTCAGTAATGTTTAGTAAGTTATCGAAGTTTAGTTCAGTAATCTAGTTAGTAATGTTATGGTTAGTAACAGGCAGTGGTGGAAAGAGTACTGAAAAATCACTCAAGTAAAAGTATCATTACTTGCCTAAAAATGTAGTGCAAGTAGAGTAAAAGTATCTGTTGTAAATATGACTCAAAGTACAGTATGAGTAAAAAGTAGCCCTTTCTAAAGTACTCAAGAGTGAGTATTACACTATAAAAAGCTGATCACCAATAACAAGCCAAATGACAATGATATTTGGTTGATTTTTTGTGTTGGAAAGTGACCAAAATCCAACATTTTAAACCAATGTTATGTTGACGTCAGATACTGACATTTATTCATTGGGTATGGCTACCAAAATCCAACGTCTGACAGACGTCATAGTGGTAACATCCAAACGCCAAGCTGTAACATCAGACTTTTTTTTATTGAACGCGCATGGAATTAATTAGATATTCCAACAGTAAGTGACTCAGAAGTGCATCATAAAACAGCACATTTATAATGCTTCTTAGTCTTTGGCCGGTATGGTACAGAAACACTTATAGCAGATGGCTGCTTCTCATAGGGCTGTCTGTGGATGTTGCCACACAATAGGCCCCCTTTAATAATGATTGTTGGCTTAATGCAGGTTAAATTGTTATACGATTAGACAGCGACAAGAGATTCTGTCGCAAGGACTTGTATTGAATTGAATAAAATAAGAATTTAAACAAAAAAAAATTTTGTTCAAGATGGACTAAAAAACGTAAGGTGATATCGGATGAGCAAATTTCAATGTCTAGCCAGTGTCCAAGGTGGAATTATACTCTCGCCTGGCGCCGCATCCCGCACCTCCGCTGACTTCATGCATACCTCTTTGTAAATAAAAAACATTGAACTGCATTGTGTTATAAATGAGATTTGTTTATTGTTTTATTGTAAGAAGTATAACTATTATTACAATCAAAGTATTTTTATCAATACATTTTTATTATTAATAAATTAGAAAGTTACCATGAACACTTTAGTGCAATACAGTTTGGTATATTTAGCTTCAACCCACCACCCTAATCAAGTTGGGTTTTTAGGCCATTCATAAGAAAAAGTTTGGCCAACCCTGCTTCAAACTATTAAAAATGTTAATAAAAGTCACTTTTTCAAACTTTTCCAGCTTAAATGTTATTAAAAGAAAGATCCAGCTCCCATAATGCACATCAAAAGCATAAATAAATGGACAAAAATAAAAACATGAATCACACCATACACAAAAATCCTAATTTATGGATATTTTTACAGTGTAGTGTGAGCTAAGCTTTAAGCTAAGCTCACATTAAGAATAGAACCCAACTCAAACTGCACTTGAACAACAGCTTCAGTGATTGTTTCAGCGCCTGGAAACTTAATGCTGAGCCGAGTAAAAGCAGCAGTTTCTCTGATTTTCTCTGTAGGCGATGCAGCTGACGAGCGATTACTGCTAATTACAGGGTGCTTCCTCTCTAACCAAGCTTCATTTAGCAGGAGCCGCGGCTGCCAAACTAACCTCGGGGCAGCAAGAGCTCCAAAACACACAAACTTCAGAGCTGACGCTGTTTTACACCCACTTTAAACCCAGATGAAGAGTCTGGCAATATAATCTGACTCCATATTGCGGAACAATGACTCTTCCTGAGGTATTAAAATGATGGTAGCCGGAGGTAAACTGTATTTGGCAGAAAGTGAGCATCTGCCAGAATTGTTGCAGGAATGAAGATAAAGATTAAGTAATGAAAATAAATGAGGCTGCTGTTAAAATTGTGAGCAGATCTGGGTTGAATGGATGAATGAATGAATGAATGAATGAATGTGTGCGTGAGTGAGCGAGTGAGTGAATAAATGAATGTATAAATAAATGAGTGAGTAAATACATGTATAAATAAATGAATTTATGAATAAATGAGTGAGTGAATAAATAAATAAATAAACAAATAAATAAATGTGAATAAATGAATTTATGAATTAATAAGTGAATAAATAAATAAATAAATAAATAAATGTGTGAATAAATAAATTTTTGAATAAATGCATGAGTGATATATTAAATGAATTAATGTGTGAATAAATGCATTTATGAATAAAAGAGTGAATGAGTGAGTGAATAAAACAATAAATGTGTGAATATAAAAATTAATAAGTGGGTAAATAAATGTGTGAATAAATTAATTTATAAATAAATGAGTGAGTGAATAAATAAATGTGACAATAAATTAATTTTTGAATAAATGGATAAGGAGTGATAGAATAAATGTGTGAATAAATGATTTTATGAATAAATGAATGAATGTATGAGTAAATAAATGCGTGTATAAATTAATTTATGAATAAATGAATGAGTGAGTGAATAAATGAATACATTTGTGAATATATAAATGAATGAATGAATGAATGAATGAATGAATGAATGAATGAATAAGGGGTTAAGTAATGATAGAGTTAAATAAATGTGTAACTATATGAATGAATGAGTGAGTGAGTGAATAAATAAATTAATAAGTGAATGAGTGGGTGAATACATTATTAAATGTGTTAATAAATTAATTTATAAATAAATTAATGAATGAGTGAGTGAATAAAAGAATAAATGTGTGAATATAAGAATAAATGAGCGAGTGAATAAATGAGTGAATGACTGAGTGTTTGAGTCAGTGAGTAAATTAATAAATGAGTGAATGAGTTAGTGAGTGAATGAATGAATGAATGAATGAACTATATGATGTACAAAACTAGAATTTAATTACTAGCAGTTCAACCATCTACATCAACAGATTCAGCACCACTACCTTGGACAGCACCTAGCAGTGTTTTTTACTTGAATGAGTTTGTGGAATGAATGAATGAATAAATTAATTAATAAGTAAGTGATTGAATGAAATAATGAATGAATGAGTGAGTGAGTGAATAAATAAATGAATGAATAAGTGAATAAGTGAATGAGTGGGTAAATACATTATTAAATGTGTTAATAAATTAATGAATGAGTGAGTGAATAAAAGAATAAATGTGTGAATATAAGAATAAATGAGCGAGTGAATAAATGAGTGAATGACTGAGTGTTTGAGTCAGTGAGTAAATAAATAAATGAGTAATTGAGTTAGTGAGTGAATTAATAAATGAATGAATAAATTAACTATATGATGTACAAAACTAGAATTTAATTACTAGCAGTTCAACCATCTACATCAACAGATTCAGCACCACTACCTTGGACAGCACCTAGCAGTGTTTTTTTACTTGAATGAGTGAGTGGAATGAATGAATGAATGAATAAATAAATGAATGAGTAAGTGAGTGAATGAAATAATGAATGAATTAATTAATTAATTAATGAAAATTATGTACAACACTAGAATTCAGTTTCTCGCAGTTCTACCGTCTGCATCAAAAGATTCAGCACCACTGCCCTGGAGAGCACCTAACAATATATATATATATATATATATATATATATATATATATATATATATATATATATATATATATATATATATATATATATATATATATTCTTTTTTTTTTTTTACTTGGATGAATGAGTGGAATTGATTAAATGAATGAATGAGTGAGTGAGTGAGTGAGTGAGTGAGTGAGTGAGTGAGTGAGTGAGTGAGTGAGTGAGTGAGTGAGTGAATAAATAAATTAGTGAGTGATTGGGTAAATGAATAATAAATGAATAAAAATTAGTGAGTGAGTAAGTGAGTGAATGAGAAAATGATTAAATGAGTGAATGAATGAATAAATGGATGAATGAATGAATGAATGAATATGATGTATAACATTAGAATTCAGTTTCTCGCAATTGTACTATCTACATTATTAGATTCAGCACCACTGCCTTGGACAGCACCTAACAATGTTTTTTTTTTTACTTTACACATAATGGCTTTTAACCTTGTGAATTTAACTGGTTTATTCTCAACATT